GTTAAAAACAATGATTTCCTAACTAACATTTGCAACTAGTGCCAACTACTTTCACTAGTCTATCCTATTCACTATATATAAACATCGTAGAAAAATACAGACAGCTACTTCTGGACTGACTAATTCCGTGCCATTTCTTTTTAGTCCTTGTGAATATACTGTTATCCTTGTACGCTTATCTAGAATTCCACTGATATTACTACCATTTGCCTTGAATATAGACGAAATATCCGTCTTGAATTCTATTGGTGACTATCATTTCTAACTGAAACAAATCGAAACAAAAATGTCTATTTGAACGTGTGCGTCGGTGGCACAGTGGTTAGGACTCTCGCCGACCATGCACATGGTCCGGGGTTCGAGCCCACGCCGGCCCACACCTGATATCTATGGTCGGCTTGCAAAATTTGGGCTACCGATATCCATGCTGAAAATTCCATACTTGTACCAAAAATACAGTGTGGAATCAAGCTGTAAATCAAAAAAAAAAGATTACGGGATGCCACGAAAGGTCAGTCACTTCATTTCAATGAAATAAACAACAAGAAACTACAAAATTCCTGTAAATAATCAAAATGATATCAACAAAAACAGTGTACAATCAGGCCTGTAAAAGAGAATAGTTAATTTATTGCTTTTAATACATTTCAATATGATGGAGAAAATTTGTACCTCGGGTGGATGATTTTGATATGTAGCTGTGTTCTCTGAGCTAGATGGATGGTTTATTTACGAAGCTTCCAATGCTCTACTAGGTAAATTGTCTAGCGCGCTTACTTCGATTTGGATTGTAGTGAGCTTTCAGATTTCTCCACGAGTTAGTTTATTAGTCATCTCTCCTGATGATTTGGCCTTTAACGTGATCGGTTGGTTTTGTGTGTTTTCACACCATCTAGGCTACATGTTTTAGTATTGGTATTGATTGTTTCCTTGACCTGGAGTTTGACATCTTGTGCGTATGAGATTTCCTTCTTATCCATTGGTATAGTTGATCTGTGTCAGTGTGTCATGGACATCATTCAAAAGAATGCATATCCGCAGAACTGAATCAAAAGACATCTACCTTGAAGTCAATCAACCAACCAATTCAAAGGCCTCAAATGAGAACACAAAGAAAATCGCCTTACCATTTATGAATGACATCTCAGAAAGCACTGCAAGACTCTTCAAACCTCTAGGAATTGATGCCACACATAAACCATCAAAATCACTTCACTCTGCTGGCTGGCTGGTTCTATGTCCACCAGAAGACTCAACAACAAAAGAAGATAGAACTAACATCATTATCTACAAAACAGGTTGTAACGACTGCGAAAAACACTACATTGACCACAGTGGATGTCCCCTTCGTCTTCGTATCCATGATCATAAGGTGGTCGTTCAGATACATGCCATCCAGCCACTCGCTCATGTCACAGCATACAGACAACCACGGACATCAATTCGACTGGGACAACTAATGCTCAAATATTAGACAGAGGAAATAGCAGAAATGCAAGAGAAGTTTTAGAAGCCCGTCTGGTATTCCAATGAATCACCGATCACAATAAACACATTGACCTAAATAAACTGTACCAATCGATAAGAAGAAAATCTCACACATACAGTGTCAAACTTCAGGTCAAGGAAACAATCAATACCAATACAAGTGGCCTAGATGGTGTGAATACACACAAAAGTAACTAATCACATTCAAGGTCAGGTCGCCTCTAGAAGAGATGACTAATAAACTCGTGGAGAAATCTAGAAGCTTACTTCAATTCAAGGTGAAGTCCGGGTGCTGAAGAATTTATCTAGTAGGACAATGACAGCTTCGTAAATAAACCATCCATCTAGCTCATAGAAAATAACTGCATCAAAAATATTTCAATATCTTTTGTTTACTTTTAAATTTGCGCTAAACTTTACCGCAGTCTAAGTCAACTTTCCAGCATATGTGTGCATAATATACCAATGTTAAATTTTCTGTCCTTGATATGACTCTTGTTAGATTGAAGGGTTACTTTAAATTAAACAGGTCTAAGAAATCTGAACGGTATTTATTAGTATTTTAATTATGACTCTAAATCCAATTTATGTCGTCTAAATTGACAAGAAATATCTGTGGGTTGGTTATCTACCATTTTCTAACAAATTACTAATAAACAATAATTTTTCCTTCACGTTCCCAGTGGAACATAGGGCTCCAAGCTAGTGGCTTGAAGTTTCTGCAGCAGTGTTTAACTTTTACAGGATGTGGTTGCTAGCCTCATGCCCAACCTTTCCTCTTTACCAGCATTATTTCTGGCTCAGTGAGGTAAAGGAGTGCGCCGGCAGGTGATCGAACCCCGGACCATATGCATGGTCGGCGAGCGCGCTAACCGCTACACCACCGACAAATCACTACTACTACTATATTCATAAATTTAACTGACCTGCTCACATAAAGTTAGATGTATTGTAGCGAGTGCTACTTATAAGATTTATCAGTAGTATATAAAGAGATGTTCGTCAGCATAGAAAAATCTAATATCAAGAAGATACATTTGATGTCAGAGAAGGCAAATGGTACGGTTTGTGAATGCAACACAAACAAAACATAATATAAAGGTCAGAACCGGTGAATCACGGAAGATCTGTCCAAATGATGTATTAAAGATAAGTTGTACATAATTTGGCTATATAAAAACACCATTTTTAAATAAAAATGTAAAAATAAGAGAAAATAGTTAGGCCGAACAATTGTCGCTTTCAATAAATTCTTCTCCAGGCTCTACAATTGTAAATCCATTAATTTAAGTATACAATAGCCAACCAGTAAAGGCAAATTAGAATCATATCAGAAAGTGTATTGTGGAACAAGTGTAAAATGGGATGGAACAATAGTCAGTTGGCTTTTTAATATGCATGGTCAATGTGAACATGAGGTGAAATAATTTAATGATGTGTGTATACATATAAATATAGTCAACAAAATACATGTCTCTCAGGGTGTGTGACAGAATTTGAAAATAAACCAACAAATGATGCGGACTAGACATAAGTTCAAGTTTGAAAATAACGACAATAAGAATGATTGTCAAATAATAACGGTGATGTTGTGTAAAATTAAAAGTACTATTGGTGAATGGATAGAAATAAAATCGAAAGGAATAATCCAGTGCTCGCTAGTGACTTGCTACAGGACAGAGTTTTCTGGAGTTCTAGTGAGAAGTTGTGATAAGTGAGGTCCATTCACTCACAAGTGAGGATGGATTTCCCCCAGATGACTATGGTGGTTGGTTACGCTAAATCGCGAATTGGTAGATGTTAGAATTCATCGGTTGGCCATTGAGGAGTTGGGTCCCAGTGGCTGAATGGCCTACGAGCCAGCTTGCCTTGTAACCGAAAGGTCCTGGTTCCGAACTCACTGTGGTGGGTGCGTACTGCCGATGATTCCCCAATGTGGGATGAAACAGCTGTCCAGCACTCCCAGTTATTGTTCAATGTTTCCCTAACTGATATCAATCCGTGGTCAAACTCGGAATAACAAAAGTGTAAGAGAAATAATGATTGTTGATGTTAGGTGGTAGGAGACAATCAGCGGAAAGTTTTGAACTTGGGTTTCGTATATGTTGGTAAAGCTTATCTGCAATCACCTTGAAGAAATTCATGTCCCACCTGAGATTCAAACTCTTATCACGCATCTAGTGCTTCAATCGGAGACTTTACCACCATTGAGCTAGCTGTTCGGGCTGGCGATTGATCTCCTATAGGACTGTATTGGTCTTGTAGTAATTATTTCCGTCTTCTAATAACACTATACGAAATTTATAAAGTGGACTAATTTTTTTTTGATGTGGTTGTATTCTCTGAGCTGGATAGTTAATTTGCGAAGCTTTCATCGCCCTGCTAGGCGACATATTCAGCCTATACTTCAATTTGAAGTGAGCTTTTAGATTTCTCCACGAGTTTATTAGTCATCTCTCCTGGTGATTTGACCTTGAACGCGATTGGTTGTTGCTTGTATTGGAACTGGTTGTTTCTTTGACTTGAAATTTGACCCTTTGTGTGTGAGGTTTCTTTCTCACCGGTTGATAAATTCTGTCTCTCTTGATGTGTCTATTGATTGATAATTCGGTGGAATACCAAGTGGGCTTCTGAAAATTCTCTAGCATTCTTTATGTTTCCTCTGTCTAATATTTGAACGTTGAATGTCCCAGTCGAATTGATGTCTGTGGTTATCTGTATGCATTAACATGAGCGAGGGCGTGGACGCCATATCTTTTGACGCCTAGTTTATGTTTATGGATACGAAGACGAAGGGCATGTCCAGTTTTGGACAGTGTAGTGTTTTTCGCAGTCGTTGCAACCTCTTTTGTAGATTATGATGTTAGTTTTATCCTCTTTCGTTGTTGAGTCTTTTGGGTGGTATAGAGCCTGCCAGATGAGTGAAGTGACTTTGTTGGTTTGTGTACGACATCAATTCCTAAAGGTTTGAAGAGTGTTGTAGTGATTTCTGAGATATCCTTTATATATGGTAAGGCGATTTTCTTTGTACTTTCCTTGGGGGCTTTTGGTTTGATAGGTTGGCTTTGTGGTGGATGTCTTTTGATGAAATTCCGTGGATATCCATTCTTTTGGAAGACGTCTATGAGATATTTTTCTTCAATTTTCCTTAATTTGGGAGTGCTACAATGACTAATTGTTCTGCATTTTCAATTTGTATTATTTACACACTGGGTACATTAGGGGTACTGCGGTACAATGATTCTCAGCACACTAGTATAAACCTCTCTAAGCCGGTATTAAGACTGATAAAGATGGAAGGCTTGGAATGAGACCAGTAATTTCAACCAGTGAAAATAAACACCACTGCTATTGCAACTTCAAATCTCTTTAGCTTGAAGTCCTATAATCCACTCGGAATATAAGCGAATCAAAGAATACACTATGGAAAATAATATAATACGCACGCATGCATAAATCACTTCACCACTGTTTCAACTAAACACTCATGCATTTCTCTGTTTTCTTTCCAGATGTCATGAATACTGTCAAGCACGTTTGAATTTGATATTCGATTCATTGACGGGTCATTCAGATCTACCTTCTTTAACTAGAAAATCAAGAAATTTACTACTTGTGAATAATAATAATAACAATAATAAAAATAAAGCCAGGAAGAAACATACTCTGTCAAGGCCATCGAAATCATCACAGCCGAATAAAGATGACGATGAGTACACCACAGGAAGTGGCATCAGATCATTAAGACGGAGAAATACCAAATCTCAGAATACTACACCTGCTACGATTAACACCAACAGTAATAATAGTGATTCAAATCAAATTGTTGATGCTGAACAGTTTAGATTATTATATCGACCAGAATTAGTGTTTACATTTCGACTTAATCGAAAACTTATTCAATCATTGGAGTTAGGTGAATCATTGATAGATGGATTGAAGAATGTAAGTTATGCATGCAGTGAACACTATTTTTTTTTGATTTACAGCTTGATTCCATACTGTATTTTTGGTACAAGTATGGAATTTTCAGCATGGATATCGGTAGCCCGAATTTTGCAGGCCGACCATAGATATCAGGTGTGGGCCGGCGTGGGCTCGAACCTCGGACCATGTGCATGGTCGGCGAGAGTCCTAACCACTGTGCCACCGACGCACATTTTTTTTAAAAATTAAAATGTTTTCAGATGCATTTTCACTGTCATAAGAGAGAGAGAGTTGGGAAGGAATAAAGATTGAACTATTTCCACTCTGAAACCTGGACATAATGACTTCCACACAAACTCATCATGTTGAATAACTTGCAACTAAGATCTGACTTTTCTGTTTCGACAGTCAAGGCTACAGCAGTATATAATGATTTGGGCAAATTATTTTTCGCCTTCATGGATAAAAGTTACTTTGTTATACAGTAATATTAACTGATGACCACAATTTATTCCCTCTCATAATCATTTCAGGATGCTCATCCCACTTTCCTGCTTCGTCTATATATACATCTATAGACGAAGCATATGTATATATGTATATAAACGAAGCCAGAAAGTCGTGTGAGTACCTCGATATATTAGTATAATATAATATAATAATTTTCGCTTTTATTCCAGAAACAGTACTAGTGATACAGTGTGGAATTTTCGGCACATATCTACAATATTGCATCTAATTACATCAAACATTTGAAAGGAGTATTTCGAAAAATAAATATTAAAAAAAACGACAACAATAAACAAGAAAAAACAAACAAATAACAAAAAAAATACGAAAAAATTGGGTAGTGGAAGCTATGATATGTTTGTGCGTGGTGAACAGTAACAGCTATAATCACACAAGAAGTTACGAAATGATATTTAAGAATGTTTATCGCCAAGATGATCAGTTAATTTGGTTGGACAACACTAAACAATCATAAAATCAACATTTCAGGTTGTGTTTTTTACTGTCAGCTCTCATGCGGTGTTTGTAGTGGTAGTGTGAGTAATCCTGCATAATACAAAAATTTTAGCATGGTGACAAAGGCGTTCACAACCAAGATTGTCAGTTTTAATATTGCCGAACAAAAAATACAGCCACAAAACTAATATTACATGATGGTTAATGACAGGACAATTTTGTAATAATCATAGTGATAATATAGTCGGACCCAGTAGATATACAAAAGAAGGAATAGAATAAAGTATAAAAAGTAAGCCAATGATAATAATATTGAGTAGCTAAGTATGTTTAAGAAGGTTGTTCACCTTAGAATACAAATAAGAGAGTATAAGGGGGAAACAACAAGGGCCAAAATTATGTTATTAACAACAAATCAAGTCATAGGTTTCACGCCTAACATTGTCTCTGTCACTTAGAACACGAGCCAAATATGGTATCGTTGAGTTCCTACGCTTGGTTGTACGAGCATATATTACTTTGTACTGATTTCTGGTTCTACCTGATGAGATACAAGGAGAGAGTTGGGAATAGAGAAGGTGTTGGGTGTCGGAGAGTATGGTTTTAGACCATTTTTCGCATGTATTCAGATGCTTATCTACTAATGTAGTGACGAGCTGACTGAGTTTTACACCACTAGTCCTACTAACTACCTTCAACATCCTTCCCAGGATGGTGTGTATTCCTTTTTCAGTAACCCAGGAAAGACTAGTGGGGAACAGTAAAGTAGAATAGGTAAGATACGAGAGTTAACATATTGTGAAAGCAGAGGTTGAGTGATTCCAGTTAGTCTGAGTTTCTTAATGTAGTAGCGAGACGGGACACTTTCTGAGAAATCGTTTGGATATTAGATGACCATGTTAGGTCGGAAGATAGAACTAATCCGAGGTATTTTACATTAGACTCAGTTTCAATTTTAGTCCCCTCAATGCTACAGGCTTCATGAGTACTTATTAGTGTTTGTAGATCTCGTTTATACCTAAAGGAGCAATAATAAATTGTGCTCAAAACATGGTCATCAGTAAATATTACTTACTGTATAACACTATGTGACTTTATCAAAATAAAAATATTATGCACAATGGAATTATACTCTACCAATGGAATTTTACTTTACTCGAAGCTTCATCCTTATAGTTTTCGCCTTATAAATCACTTTAAATACTAAGGTTGTAGAGATAAGATGATCAGTACTGACCAGATGTTCAATGATTGCGTTTTTTATAGCTCCATTTCCACCTCTTCGTAAGCATGCTGGGTAGTTTTCTTGTGCCCTATTGAACAAAACCCGAGTTGAACGAGGGTGCAAGAAAACTATTCAGTATGAGCAATCAATCAACACCTGGTCGATACTCATTACCCTATCTCTTCACAGACTCAACATTTAAAGTCATTTAAAAGGCAAATAATAATAATTTGTACAAATCAATATGAATCCGACTCATCTGTTGCATTTCTGAAGCTTTGACCATCGAAACAGAAAAGTCAGTGTTCTGTACACAGAATAGGTCTGTTCAACACGCCCCCCCCCCAGTTCTCATGGTCTTAATCCTTCTGTGCTAAGGTATAATAATCTCCTTTCATATTTTCGGTCTATCAATACTTTTTTCGTTGTGTCAACTCAATTTGTTTACACTTCCCTTATTACGTCAATTGTTACTATAACTATTCTCAATCTGAATTGTCCCTGGTATTGTGTTACCTCGTCTAAAATGGTCACCATTTAACACAATTATGTAAAATCGCTGGTGAGACACGTATCAAACTGCAATCTTTAATATTTATCATACTATGCTAAGTAAGATATGCATTTCGGTAGCTGGTCGAAGTTACTGTTAGTGCTGATATGCTTTGCTTACATGACAATAAAGAAATTTCATGTGTCTTCGTGAATGTAAGTAATGAAGACATACTTTAGTGCTAAAAGAACACCTTGTGATCTTTGTAAGGTATCGCAAACCAGTTTCGAAACTAAGTTAAAATACAATCAGCAGCAGCAAGTTTGATCATGGACTGATAGCAGTTAGAGGGCCGTTGAAAACCAGCACTGATGTATTGAACACTTGTTTCGTCCTAGTTTGAGACTCTTCAGATATGCTCACCTATCAGATTTTGGACCCAGGACATTTTAATTACAAGGCGAGCTCATAGAAGTTAGAATTCAAAGGCCATAGAGGCAGATCCCACTAGCTGAATAGTCTTTGAGCCGGTTTTGTGACTAGGAAGGCTCCTGGTTCAGATCAGTTCCAAACTAGGTTGCAGAAACAACTGCTCAATACTCTCTGCTGGTTTTCAAAGGTTCTCAAACTACTATCAGTCAAACACCTATTCACATTATCTAAATACCTCTTTACTTATTGATAGTTTACGGGTTAACAAAATGGAGATATGTAGCTTATGTGGATGTTGTGCTTGGGAAAACATTCCAAGCCAAGATCATCAAGAAAGACATTCAATTTATTCATGTTCAACTTTTAATAAAGCTCACTTTATTTTGAAATGAAATGTAAACAGTCGAACACATCTAGCTCAGAGAATATGACAGTATCCAAAAACAGTCAACACATATTTTGCTTTTGTTTTTCTTCAGCGCAGTATGGAATGTTGTGAAGTAAGTGTCAGTTGCTTTGTATGGATTACGAATTATAGAAGCAAAGAGATTCAGAGTGGGATTATTCCTCTTTCGGGTGATAATTCGCAAGCTGTACAATCGCATATATATAGTAAATTATCTCAGCAACAAAAGGAATATTTTCAAAGATGTGCCATTTGAATAGTAAATTCTTCTAGATAACAAAATTACGCAATGTACTCCTTAATCGGAAGAAGACATCCTGAATGCGATCAGGCTACTAAATCCCGACCGGGAAGGCAGCAGGACAGGCGGAATTCCTATCGAAGCAATGAAGACGGCCCTAGAGATTACGGCAGATGTTCTCACTCCATTATTGAAAAATGTTTGGAAAGAAGGAAAGGTGCCTACTGATTAGCAGAAGGCCTACCTCGTCAAACTGCCAAAGAAGGGCGACTCAGGCCTCTCTGTGCAAGAACTAACGTGGAATAATGCTCTTGTCCATGCTAAGTAATATACTAAGTCGCATCACCCTGGAGAAAATAAAGGATGCACTGGATATAGAACGCTGCCAGCGCCACCGGAACAAGCTGGATTCAGTATAGGGAAATCGTGTGCTCATTAAATTGCTACGTCACGCACCGTCACTGAACAAAGCCTAGAATGGCAGTCAAAACTCCACTCTACTTTGTAAAGGCCTTCACTAGACAGCCTAGACCGAGAAGTAATCTAGAAACTAAATCAACACTACGGCGTACTTCAAGTCTTTATCGACCTCATTCAACAGCTGGCTATATATCAATGCCACGTGGCAAGTGATCCACAACGGAAGACCCAGTGAGGCGTCTGAAGTGCATACAGAAGTGAGACAAATCTGGCTGCCTATTACCACCGATTATATGGTTAATTGTTGTGGACTGGATTATACGTCAGACTGTTGGGGGAAAAGGCAACCATTGAAAATTAAGGAAACAAAGAGAAAAAAAATAGGCGACAAAAACTTGAAATAAACAATTAAGAAACATAAAACAAAAATTATGTATCCAATATTAGGGCAGACTTCTGTTGTATGCAGAGGTTAGGATTTAGCGTGTGAATTACCATTGCTTCTGTGGTTTGAACAAGTTTGATTCGTATTTTTTGAGAAGGATTTCCACTTATTATGTAGATAACTTTGAAGCTGTTATGTACTCGTCGAGTAGTTAATAGTCCTGACGCGGAAAGAGGGAAAATCAGAAGACCACCTCGTTCACGATGATCCTTGTAATTTCCAAACAAGGAAAATAAATGTCACAAAAGTGTGTGAGTGAAATGGTACGTAGTGTGCGAAATGTGAGAACAAGTATGAAAAAGTCTACAATACAAAAGTATATATGAAAATTACCAATATACATGAACCAATAGACAGACAGTCTTACCATGATTGGTTGTAATGTCATGT